ACTCAAATTTATTTTGAAAAATGGGACTAATAAACACTTTTTTCAAAAAATATTATATGATTATAATTATTAAAATAGAAAATATTTACTACTTTTTAAATTTTTTAATTTTTTAGATTTATTATGATAAAAGTTATTTTGGGTTTCATAAGAGAGTAACTCATAAAAAAAGAATAAATTTTAATTTTTTATGAAATTTTTAAATAAACAAAAAATTAAATTTAAATACAATATTATAAATTGTTATGTAATTGAATCAATCAAGAATGGATTTTAATGAATAATTTATAATTATATTAAATATTAAGTATATGTAAAAATCACATTAAAAAAGTTTTAAAATAAGACTCTTAATTATATATCTATATAATTATTATAAATCTATAATAATTTTTTACATATTTAAAAAATAATTTTCAAAAATTATTAAATATACATTTATTTAAAAATATCATACAACTATCAAAAAAAAAAAGTTTTCCAATTACGTATAATTTCAAATGCACCCTGTATTTACTTTGGCCGTGATGGACGTAAGTTGCGTTTGGGATTACGATTCAAAGAACATTTTCACGCAACAGTTGATTAAAGTTATTAATTTATTATAATTAAATAACTACATTTACAGTAGCTGATTACAATTCGAAAGGAAGCCATTGTCAGGTGATGATGTCTCTGGCTATTCTTTCTTGCGTTTAGGTTGTCTTTTTAAGTGTATTTGCTCTTTTAAGTAGAGATTATTTAGAGAATATTTAGTAACTGATTTCTCTCCATATACTATAATTGTTCACATATATCTCATTGATAAAATCAGCAAATCATTTCATTCTCTTATCACAATTAATTAATGGATCTCATCAATTAAAATAAAAATAATATATTTTTAGAGTAGGATATGGTTAATTTAACAATGTTTTCTTGCAGTTATAATTATAAAATTTTTTTATTTTTTAATATCTTAAAAATATATAACATATATATTTAATATATTTAATAATTATTTTTATTAATATTTTATATATTTTTAAAATAATAAAAAATATAATAAATACATTTAATATATACTCTTAAAACATAAATTTTAAAAAAAATTAATTAATTATATAATTGATTAAATTAAAACTAACATTTATATTTTTCATACTAATTAATTGTAAAAAGAAAAAAAAAGCAGTAACACCCATAGAAAAACCTTCTCAAAAATATGTACGTGGACAATAAAAATCAAATTAATCGGAGCATATCATGCGCTGTCAGTGTCACATGGTAAGCACCTCAAATTCGTGCTGGGCCTTATGTGTGGTTCTAGCTGTAAACATTTTTTTTTTTTTTTTCAATTAAGATGATTCATTGTCTCTATGTTTATGAGGGGTAGGTGGGAAGAGGGAACTGGGGTCGAGTTCCTAAAGCCCTGCCCCCATCACTGCTCCCACTTTTTGGAGAGAGTGCAGCCACTCTATCCATCACATGAAGTATTGCAAACGAGAAGACTGTTATTAGATAATACTAAATAAGATGAAAGACTTGAAGTTCCGTTAGAAAAGTACCTGAATAAGCATCAACGGGCAATTCAACACGCCACTGGAGCCCGGAACATCATAGAGGAGCTCCTCAAAGCAAGGGAATGGTGGTTGGAGTGCATCACCAAACTGCTCAAGTGTAACATCCGCATCAGCCTCAATAAACATGATACCTTCCCCCGTACAGTCCACGATAAGTTTGCGATCGGGCCCCTCCCTAAGTCTACCGGCAAATGGATGGTAAAAAACTAGGGCTTTTGCCAATGCCTCCCTTATAACCTTGACAGGATCCTTCCCTTCCATGGAGGGTGTGTATGGATAGAAGTGAATTACTGGAAGTTGAAAACGAAGACTTTCTTGGTCGTCAATATCTGAGAGTGGTTTGTACTCTCGATAGGTGGGCTTTGCGGGAGCTATTAACTCTGGTTCACGCCTTCGGACTGTGAATACTAAGGAATTTGTAGGTGCCATGGGAGTGTACGTATTTCAGTTTGAGAGAGAAGAAGTGAAAATGGTTGCAAGTAGTGCTAGGAATTCTATCTGCTGGCAATACATATAGAGATTAGTAGGTGATATCTATGGCAAGAAATAGAAGGGAAGTGGGCCTGTTTCTTAGCAGCCATACACGTGCTAAATTTATGGTAGACTAGTATTTCATCAAGTTTTACACATGCTGGAGGAGAAAGGGAACACGGATGTAAAGTTCACTCGGTTTGGATCAATTATTGTAAGTGTAATTGTAATTATAGTTGTGTTGAATT